AAAACACACAGAAAAAAAAATTTAATTACATAGTCCATCAACTTATTTGAACCAGACATCTTAAATGCCCATAATTGTGTTCACTGATGCCTAAAGCACAGAGAAGGGCTCACAAATTAGTCAACATCAAACTGAAGGGAAACAAAAGAGAGACTCTTTCACCATTCTTTTAATTCAAAATGTTTTCTTTCTTTTGCATATTTTGTAGTGATATACACTATAGAAATTAGTATATCAGTAGCATATTTCATAGATAATGGAAGCAGTATACCTGTTGAATAAACTGTCTTTAAGCATAATCATTTCCATGTATATGTTGTTTTTAAATGCTTTGTTACTTCATTCTGGATTTAGGATCAATATTTTCTTTTACCTTTTCCAAAAAACAGGGGAGAAGGGATACAAATTTACTATCACTGCAAATTTTTCATCACTACAAACAAATATTTGAATCTTTGACATCTGTAGAAATCATTGCATCCATTTATGTAACAAATACATGATGAAAGCCTTCTGTATGGTTCAAACAGGAAAGAGACAGTTATCAAACCCAAACCAAAAAGCATTTTGGCCAAGAATGGCCCAGCCCCTGGCATAAACTCTCTTGATTAATCAAAAACTCTTCCCATTGAACCTAGAGGAGACCTCAGAATCCTCCTGAACAACTTCACTTCATGAATTGGTTTGAGTTTTCACAGAGTAAATATATTTTGCCATCCCTGATTTAGGTATCAGAGATATCTAAAGGAGTAGGAAATTCAGACCCAATAAGTTGAACACTTGACACCCCCCCCAAAAGGCCGAGATTCACCTATTTGACGAGATTTGAGAATACACAAAAATGACATTTTTGTTTATACCCAGAGCATTTAATTTCTCCATGATACATGCATAAGGACATTGCTGCTGACTACCCCATGTCTTAACAGAGCGTTGCCTAACACATAAGCAGGGTGTGTGTGCTGCACTGCAGTTAGGCTTACTGTGTTCCACTCCACTGAGGGAACGCCCTAACAGAGTGCTGGGTCCTTCCTCTCTTCATTGTTATGCTTGATGTGGACATTCTTCCATTGTCCTGAAGCAGGTCAAATACCATCAGCTGCTGATCCGTGCTCTCCATCAGTGTGTGAGAATGGAATGTAGCCTTTTACACTTGTCTGAGGAGAAACTCTATGGAGTACAGTTTTACTCTGTAACATAGAGCCTCCATGAGTCAGAATTGACTGGGCAACAACTGTCTTGTTTTGGAATGGGAAGCAATCTCTCCACAACTTCTAATGCTCATCACATTACTTAGCTCTAAGTTGTCTGAGGGCAGATTCTGTGTCTGATTCACCTTTGAATCTCTCATAGTGCCTTGCACCAGGGCAAGATTGCTCAGTAGGCATCTAATTACACAAAGCAGAGGAACCCAAAAGGAATTTGGGGTTATTTTATATTTTTCTTCATGCATATACTCCCCCCCACACACAAAAAAAGAATCATCAAAGCATTAAACATGGAAATAATCATGTTGAATTTCCCTAATGCTTTTTTTATGATGCAGTATTACATTTATTTACTTTACATTTCTTGTAGACATTTTCATAATATTTTTAGGTTTTAGGTTCTTTAAACATCTTAATCCAGGTTTGGATCCACGCAAACAAGAGTCAATACATGTTTTTGTTAAATAAATAAACCAAAGAACAAGAGAAATTAACCCATTAAGGCTTATCAACCTGGATTGATGACATTTGGCAGAAGGAGTATGAAAGAAAGACAGACTTTTTTAAAAAGAACCAAATTTTTCTATTTTAGGTTTGCTTCAAGTTAATTCTTGAACTTTATCATGAGAGTTAACAAATATATTAAAATTTGATGCCTTGCAAAAACTACCAAGTAACTATTTGTGGAATACCACCTCATAATTATTAAATGCAATATATTTTTGCTATAAAAATTACTTATTATCCTTGAGTCTGATTTTATTATGTGCAAAGAATTGTAAGCTTCAGTGTCAAAAGGAAAAAAAAAAACTTTAAATAACTATAATTAAAGAATTGTTGAAAGTAGCATGCAAATTATTGTCTTTTTTTTTTTTTTTTTTAATAAATGGATTGACTCCTAAAATGGAAGCGAAGGGAAGACTTCAGCTGTATTTTCCTCTGGTTCCATAGAAGTTGAGGAGTAAGGAGAGACTTTAGTGTTATATAAGCTCTGGTGGTTTAGTGCCTAAGGCATTTGACTGCTAAACAGAAAGTTGGCACTTCAAACCCACCAGCCACTCCACAGAAGGAAGATGGGGCAAGCTACTTCCATAAAGGTTTACTGCCTTGGAAACCCAATGGGGGTTGCTGTGAGTCAGAATTGACTTGGCAGTGTTGTTGTTGTGTGTGTGCTTTTTTTTGTTTTTTTTTTTTTTAGTCTTATATACAGATAAGGAAACTGCACACAATGACACACAATGGCTAAGGTGACTTACCCAGATGCCTATATTCAATGGCAAGAAAGCTGAGATGTACCTAGCCAGCCTCCATATTCATATCTAAGAGAATCTCCATCACAGCCTCTACACACAAATTCCAAATTATTTCTGAACACAAACTACTCTTCTCTTTGCCAGGAAATTACCTCACTCTTTGCTTAGGGACAAGATCTAAGTCACTCGGGAGGATAGCCTTTAATTTCTCTCTCTTAATCTTTGGATTTTAATCTCCATCCTTTCTCCCTTCCTTACCCTCTGCCTTTGAAGTCCTTTTTTCTATCAATTCCCTCCTGCTCTCTCCACCACAAACACCTCCATTAGGTATCATCATCTCCTCTTTCAAACCTAAATCTCTTTTTCTTCTTTTTCAGCTTTCAAAAAATCCATGGACCTTCTCCTTCCAAAGATTTTCCTTGAGTGGTGCCACATTTAATTTTACCATCTCATTTTTCCATTTCCTTTTATCACTAAATTTCTGGGGAAAATGACCATATTTGTTTTCTCTTCCTCTCTATCAGTCAAGCAAGTTCCTATTCCATGAAACTCAGCATTCTCTTGAAGATCACTGAAAACCTTGGCATTTCCTTGGGATTCACTCTGCTCTAAGTTTTTGTATCATCTGACTTACATTCACACCCATCTGTCTCAATTTCTCTTTCTCATGACATCCATGATATTGCATTAATTTTCCCTCCTGTTTCTTTGACCATTCATTCTTCCTCTTTGTATCTTTTTTTGTTGCTGTTGTACCCATTTATATAAATGTAGGATATTCCCGGTTTTCATTCTCAACCACAGTATATTTCTTTGCCCTGTTCTTTACTTTAGTTTCTCCTTAAACAAGTTCTCCCCTGATTTCAACTCTCACATCTGAGCAGATGTCCCCCAAGTCTACGTACTTAGCCTGAACTTCTGTTCACATTCTTGAGACACATTTCAAATTGCTGGGCAAATTTACCTGGTCATTTCTCTGGCATCTCAAACTCAGTTTCTCCTGCTCTGCTTATTTCTGCTAATTCTTCATTCCCAGTCTCCCTGTTAAAAGTGCTGTCACCTGGGCTTCCTCCCTATCTTGACTCCCACATGCTCCCTTTTCTCAAGCCCTGTGAGTTCTACCCATGCAGTATCTCTCCCTTGATCTTTTCCTGTCCGCTCCCACTGCCACTGTTCTGGTTTACCTCCTCCTCATCTAACAGGCATTGCCTAATGTATAAGTAGGAGCATGTTGGCATTGCCGTTGGGCTTACTGTGCTCCCTTCCACTGAAGGAAGGCTGTTTTGATGCGGAAGATTCTCAACAGCTCATAACCTGTAATCTTTGCCTCTTCCCACTACTCCTGCCAAATGCTGTCAAAGTAATTTTTTAAAACCCACAATTTTATAATGCCCTTCCCATCTCCAATATTTTCCTACAGCATACAGGCTTTTGGTGTAGAAATGGACAGTTACTTGTAGATACTTTTGTCTACTTTTTTCATTTTCTAAATGTAAAAAAGTAAGGCTCAGAACTTTTGAGGAATGCACTGTTTTTCAACTCTATCAAGTGCTCTTTTTAGTTTATTGTACTACATTCCAAAGCCCAAGAGTGATTTTGTTTCAGAATGAACACTAGACTCTGAGCAAAAGACAAAAAGCTGTATGAACATACCACATTTTGCAGCAGGATTTGCAGTTTTTTCATGACAAATACAGTGAGAGTCTGACTCTCTGGTGAAACTTATTTGGTCTCTTGCCTAAGTTACCTCTCATGGGAAAAAGAATTACCCAGCTTCATAAATTTGGAAAGGTTTATTAGTCACCTGACATAGTTATCCAAAATAAACACTAGGCACTGACACTTAAGTGTGGTGAAGAAACTGCAGTGCAGATAATAACTGAACACACAATTCTATAGCTATAAAGAAATAACTTCCAAACAGAGAAGTAAGGAACCCACCAACCCCCTCCTACATCCACAAACATAAAAGTAGGAAAAAGGGCTCAGGGAATTCATTCACAAGAAGCAAGAATTACACACTAGTATGATCATCAATTCAATTTCAGTTCTTCCCCAGTGATTAGCTCTAAAAATAATATCTCAGTCACTGGCACTCACTTCTCTTTCTTTCTTTTAGTTTTATTGTCATTATATGTAAGCATTCCTAATCACAGAGGTAATTTTAGGTATATCAAAATCAAATATTTCTTGATTTCCCAAAATTATCACATCAATTCTTTGTAGCATGTTTAGACAGTAATTTACTTAGGTGAATAACCTATCTTAAACTTTACAAATTTAAGCTGAATTGTATTGGAATGTATTTAGTCATAAATTAATACCCAAGCCTCAATTTCCTCATCAGTAAGATGGAGATAATAAAAGTATTTGCCACAAGTGCTTATTGTGAAGATTGGATGTATAGATTTCTCTAAACACATTCTCTAGTATTTAGGTATCATTCAATGAATTGTAATAATGATAATGACTAATATAAAAAATATACCATATATTTCTTATAATACGAACATTATCTTCTAACACCCCTTATATTAACCAGAAATAAATATTTCTTTAATTACTAATGGTGGTAAATTTTTAAAAATGTATTCCTAGAGACTAAAAGTTTTATATTTTCTTTAATAGTGAAAGTAAACCTAATAATAAAAAGTAACTTACTATATTTGTTAATCATCATTACTAGCATTTTTAAATGCAAATACAATTTGCTTATATCAGTAATGCTGATGACATCTAATTATAATAGTTTTTATATTTTAAAATTCTGAAAAAAATCAAATATAAGTTGAAAATTTCTTATGCAGAGAGAAATAAAAATGAAGAATTTGCACCATCTTTAATAGGTATAAAGTGCAATTTAAAACTTCATGAATATAAATTAGCCTTCAAATTTATATCTAAGTTTTAGACAGACATTGTAAATTATCTTTAAAAAGTATATTGATATATTCAATTCTGTATTTAAATGTCTGTGTTTTTAGAAACAAGCTCTGGTGGCACAGTGGTTAAAGCATTCAGCTGCTAATGGTTGGTGGTTTTGAATCAACCAGCTGCTCCATGGGAGAAAGATGAGGTAGTCTGCTTCCATAAAGATTTACAGCCTTGGGAACACTACTCTCTGTCCCATTGGGTCGCTGTGAGTTAGAATAGGCTTGATGGCAATGGGTTTGGTTTTGAGTGGTGTTTTTAGAATTATCTGTGGTTTTTAGAGAAAAAAAATTAAAACTATCCTAATTTCTTACTAAAAACTGTCTATAATGATGGAGGCTGAAGCTGAAACTAGGCAGAGCTCTGCTTGACCAGCACATCAGTTTGACTAAGGGAAGTGTATGACACAGGAGGAAAGACTAATGCAAGCTGCTAATCCAGCTACTCTTCCTGCACTTCTGCAATTTCCTCCCCTTGCTGCAGAAGGATGCAATTATACCATCTATTTCATTTAATGTTAACATAAACCGTCAAATATAAACTCTTTCCTACATGAGGGAATAATTTGCTTTTACGTTAGAGTTTTTACTATCTTATTTCAAAAAGAGTTCTAAAAAAAATTATCATCTTCAGATTTTTAAGAATACCAGAAAATCTAGAATTGGAAAGTGAAGGAAAAAAAATACTCTGTAGCTTTCTGGTTATCTTTCTGCTTCATATTCTTTCTTTGCTGCAAAAGGTGTTTTTTTTTTTTTTTCCTATTTCCATCTGTGGCTTGTCAGATCCTAAAACTAAAGTTAACTCTTGTAGCACAAAAACTTACTGTTACATATCATTGAATTGTATCAAAACAACTCCAACTCTGCAGGCATAAGATTTACTAAGAGAGATGAGATTCCTATTTTCATTTCCCCTGAATTCTAGCTTCATATATCTTACCTCATAGGATAACAGGTACTTTCGTTGGGTAAGAATGAAAAGGAGTATAAAAATAAAAGTAATAAAAAGAGCTAAATTGAAAGGTAAAAACCAAAGGAATTCTTAGCATAATGATCAGACTTGAGAGGTAAATGAGTCCCACCTGTCATCTGAGACAGACTTTCCTCCTCGCACTGTTAAATAATTCCAATGATTCACAAGACTACTGTTTGATCTTTTCTTAATGATTAGATAACATGAATTTTAAAACATTTGATTAAAAACTAACTATTATGATGATCTTATTCTTTACAGGTGTTGGTAGAAGTTAACAGTGAATTTCGAATCCAGGTAACAGAGAAAATCCATTTTTTTAATGAAAATTATTTGTAATAATATATTTTACAAAGGAAAATTCAGCCTTATAAGTAAAGTTAATATAATGTTAAAATTAATAGATTATCAAAACCATCAATTTCCCCAATTAAACATCTCTCCTTCTTCGATATAATTACTTCTCCTCCAAAATCCCTAATACAATGTGAAATATCAGCAGAAGTTAACAGATAATGTTATTTTTTTTCATACTAATTCAAGATAAGAGATTATAATGCTAAAAATGGCACCATCAAATGGCATTCAATCAGAAGGCAAAAACGTGAATGGATCAAGTTTGCTGCGGCCTGTCGAGAAGGTGAAGATAACTCAAAGAGAAACCCAATTGCCAAAGTAAGTTTCAACTCAGAGCACAACATTGAAAATCAGAACGAAGAGGTGTTATAGTTTCAAAATAATCTATCTTTTAAATCATAGGGGAAAACATTAAAACTCTCTGGAATTTTCAGGATAGTGAAGAATATATCTGACTGAAAAGTTAAGACACAGATCAGGAATATGGTCACTCAGATTACAAAACCTGAAGCCACTAGAGTATACATTTAAAAATGTAAGCACTCAGATAAAGTTAAACGTTGTGTTATTTCAAAGCCTAGATGAAAAAATACAGTAATTTAAATAATGAATTTAGCACATCAGAAAAGACCAATCACTAGAAAAGAATATCATGTTTGGTAGAGGGCCTATGAAAACGGGGAAGTCCTTGATGAGATGGATTGTTTTGTTTTTTTGTTTTTCTCTTGTTTAGCAGAAACAGAAATTGAGTTTCTTTTATTACATTGTCAGTTACCATTGGAAATACTCGAGTTGTAATTATTGAATTTATCTAGGAAAGCATTCCCCGATTGACAATAGGGAGGGACATCACATTCATTAAGTCTCAAGAAAGAATGCTGTTGTGTATGAAGAATAAAACTATTTGCTCACTATAATATTTTCACTTGTCTTGTCCTACTTCTATAGATTCACTCAGATTGTGCTGCAAACCAGAAAGTTACATATCGCATCTCTGGAGTAGGAATTGATCAACCACCTTATGGAATCTTTGTTATAAATCAAAAAACTGGTGAAATTAATATAACATCCATAGTTGATCGCGAGGTCACTCCTTTTTTCATTGTAAGTGAGCTCCGTGTCTATCTATCTATCATCCATGTGTATCTTTGAGTTTAAATTATTCTTGAAAAATCATAAGCTCAGATCATATTTGATTTGATTTCAAGAGCCTCAATATTTTGGCTTTTTGTGGTCTCTTAATCTACAAACATCACATGCCCCAATGCAAAGAAAAATATTTTACTTAAGAGTCTCTTAAGTAAAAATGTTAACTCTAGTTTGCCTTCAGTGGCAAACTAGATGATTTTTTAGAAGGACATTATCCAACTTTTATTTATTTAATTCAGTTAAGATTGTTGACTCCAATGTCATGTGATTTAGAAGGACATTATCCAACTTTTATTTATTTAATTCAGTTAAGATTGTTGACTCCAATGGGAATTTTTTCTGAGAATAAATTTTTATATTTTTTTTATAAAGTTATAATAAACATAACTTTATTATAAATTCACATTGCTCAAGCTCACTTGAGCTCTGAATGTGGCCGAAAGTTCTTTCATTCATAGCTGCATCTTAAACCATTCTTTCCAGTAGCTGTCAGGCTGCTTAAGTAGCCTCTCTCTTCAAACTCTTAACCTCATTTCTACTAGAAGCAGCTGACCTCATGGCCAACTTCATGAAAAAGTCTGAGATCAGCCACCATAAACTCCCACAGCTAATTCTCTCTCCTCCACCTCAGAAATATTTTGCATTAATTCCAAAAGGAGGATCACCTTTCTGCTTTTCCCCACAGCTTATCCCAAGAGATTTTCATTGTCCCTTAATTGACTGTTTCTTCTAGGGTCTTGTTCCACAACTTTTTTAGTTGTTGTTTATCTCTCTTCTGCCCCCTCCATTGGCTGTTTCCACTCCCATCTGTGATCATGACCAATACTTCTTCATACTTAAAATAAAAATTTGAAAATAAAGAAAGCTTTCCTTGAGCCTGTAATAGAAGAAGTTCATTCTATTAAAACCCATTGGCCTATATCCAGCTTATCTTCAAACAGTAGTCTATATTTGCCACTTCCATTCACGCTATTTGTCTTCATTCTGCAGACTACTTTAATCCCTGAGTGTACAATTCCTAGTCATATTCCTACCTTATCTTCTACAATGTTTCTACACAAACCCTCTAAGTCAGCATTCTAGCCTCCTAGCTTTTCTGTTAGCACAATGCGTTTTGATATAAAATATACAGCTTACGTAAAATAGGATACATTAAGTATGTAGTTATGTAGACTTTAAATAAAAATAATAATAATGCAAAGCCCCATATAATTGCCCCCTAGCTTGAGAACTCACAACATTGCTGTGAATACTTAGTACCACTCTTCTTGAAACCATGCCCAAGCCTCCCAACTGTCACTGTCTCTAGTTTCAAACACTCCATCTTCATCACTCTGGTTCTTCATATGAATCCCTTTGCTTGGAACACTCTATCAATTCCCAGCACCACCTGTTAAGATTATCTTTCAAGATTTATTTCAACCGTTATATCCTCCCACGAAGTCATAGTACTTTTTTTGTCTTCCTTTATGTAATTTACTGTTTTACCTTGTCCTAATGGTATTTTGGGTTAGTATTTGCTTCCTCTTATTGATTATAAACACTGCTTATGCCTGTGTTTTAGTAGAAATTAATATGTCTAATTTTTCCTTTAGTTTTCCATAATATCTGTTATAAAGCACACAGTGAGAACTTAATAAGTATATGTTACACTGCATAATTATTTCTCCTTTCTCTCCTAGATCTATTGTCGGGCTCTGAATTCAATGGGCCAAGATTTAGAGAGGCCACTTGAGCTCAGAGTCCGGGTTTTGGACATAAATGACAATCCCCCAGTGTTTTCTATGTCTACATTTTTAGGACAAATAGAAGAAAATTCTAATGCAAGTAAGTCATCTACTTTATTAAATAAACAAGAATGTATTGGCTTCCAGAGCACTCTTAACAGCCAGGCAATTAGACATTAAAACCACATCATGAATGACGGATAAGCTAAAGGAAAGCGTGCAGGGCCGAAAGGCATCAGGAAACCTCCACAGTGGCTTTCCCTGGGTTTATGGTAACAGCTCACTCTGTCATACACAAGGGATGACACCAAAGTAATAAGGATTGTTTCCTCATCTCACTCACACATTAGCTCTGTAGGAGATCCTAACGAGAAACTACAAAAATATTTTACCAAGTGGTGACAGCTGGCAAAGTTTCAGAATTCAGCCTCCTGGCCTGACTGCTGGACCGAGACACTGAGAGTAACAGTGAGTAACAGAAGAAGGCGTCCATGGCTGTTCAACCACCATTCCTCATGTGGCCCAGTCATCACTGGGGCCTCTGTTTTGTATTGTTCTGTTCCAAGGGGCCGAGGAGAGTGCCCCGCCTGGCCATGACCCCATGTGGGCCTGGAACTTTGGCAGCGCTACCTGGGAATTTTTTTTTTTCCCAAAATTGTATTAAATGTGAAATGTCAGATAACAGGATAATCAGTAAGGCAGTCCTTCATTCCTTTTGACAATTTTGCATTTCATAATATGAATGTCCCATAATTGATTAATTACCTAGTATGCATATTGAAAAAAAATGCTGAAATGAATAGAGATAGAGAAGAAAATAAATATGCCCTGGTGCATTTGCACCTACAGAACGGCCAATTATGCTTAAAGGGGGTTGAGTACAGAAAAATATTCTAGCTTATGAACACTGGCCACTTTTCTCCACTGTCCTCAATCAAAACAGTTAATAAGATCAATGGAAACTATGAAAGAGAACACAAGATATGTAATTAAATAAGCATTTCTTTAAACACACTAGTAACCTAACACTTTGCTAGGGACCAAGCAAAGTAGAAAAATAATAATATATACTATTTATTAAACATATGTTGTTCAGTATAGACACTTTATATAATTTCCTCTCAGTAAGCTTTTCATTCCCTCATGAACTCAATGAATATGGGGAAGTTGGAAGGAAGGGAGAGAGGGAGGAAAGGAGGGAGGGAAGGAGGGAAATAAATTGTACTAGAATAAGAAATTGAAACCCAGAGTACTTTTCCTTTGTTTTTCAACTATGAGTAATGTCTATATTCCCAGTAAAATGTGATCTTTTTATCAAGCAAAAGTGTAGAAAGGTGATAAGATTTCGAGATGTTGAAGGAACAGAAAGGGAAGATTGCAAAGTGCACGTTATTGGACAAACTAACCCTAAAACCATGTTAGAAAGGTGGTATACTATAATACAAAAGTAAATTGTCTATTTACAATCTGTTTTCCTTAATTTCTAGATACACTGGTGATGACACTAAATGCTACTGATGCAGATGAACCAAATAATTTGAACTCAAAAATAGCCTTCAAGATCATAAGACAGGAACCTTCCGACTCACCGATGTTTATTATCAACAGATACACTGGAGAAATTCGAACAATGAATAATTTTCTAGACAGAGAGGTATTTTTTTTTTCTTTGAATGGTTGGTTAGTCTCAAAGGAACTGATTCTGACGATAATAGTGCCTAAGAGAAAATGAGAAAAAACTATATTTTAATTTTAGATATGTAATCTTTTCACATATAGTAATGACATACAAAATAAGCTTACATGTAAAAATTGGAATTTAAGTACATGTCATCCAATCATTTTTCATTTAATCTTACTTAGGATTTGCCTCAATTTAAGAAAACTATATTCTGAGAGCATAGGTAGGGAAATTTCCATTGTTAAAATATTTTACTATTTGTAAATAATAAAATATAATAATTCACCATTAACTTCAAGAAACTCCACTTAAAATTTGTATAGAAATTGTCAAGTGGGAACTTAATTTTCTTTTCAAACTTTCACTAATAATCCAATAAAACATTATTTAAAAAAAAAAAAACCCATTAAAAAATGTTCTATCATGAAATAAGTTTAAGAAATACTTGCTATTATATCCCCATCTTAGTAAATCACAGTGCATGTGAATGTGGCTCCAATAAATTTTACAAGCTAAGAAACCTGCTTATCTTTATTTTTATTTAACCCAGCATATCCTAAGCCCTTTTGATAACGGAACACTTATTATTATTATTATTCCTATGTAATACCTATTAACAGCCCACTGAATATTTTGGGAAATGAATCAAGGACCAGAATGATGGATAGAAATGAA